GCCTTCTACCTCACCAGGAGTTTCCTTCTGAAGGTGACAACCCTTCTCAAAAGACCTACCAAACATGTTCCCACTAAGACTTCCAACCTCCCACACATGCAGGTTTATACTGTTATTTTTTTACCTCTTTAGACTGTTCCAAGTGCCTGGCTGCTATCAGATTTACAGGAGACTAACATTATTAACACTGAGACAATCCTTCGAACAAAGTAAGATTAAATACATGGAGAAGACTCCTGCAGAATCATTCATCTTTTAACAGGCCATGTTCCAAACTCTGTGTGCTAATCTCATAAGCAGTTTACTGGAGCACAGAAATTTAACTAGAGTTCATTTTTCCTACAGAAAAATAATGCTCTCTAGCTAGTATTTTGCAAATGTGGAAAACATTTTTGAAAAAAAAAAAGAAAAAAAAAGATGAGTTTTGAAACGTACAGTTCACACAGAATGTTCTGATCTAATTTATATCCTTTCATAAGTATAAAGAAAGAAAGTTTAAAAGTTTAGAAGATAGAGCACCATCATCTTCTGCTTAGGAGGAAATTAGGGTCAGCAGAGGTAATGAAAAGGGAAGTAGACTCTGAAAGTGGACAACAGAGCAGAAACATTTCAGGGTGTTACAGTTAAATCATGCACTACCTGGAAAACTGTTTCTAAGCTGATCTACACCCAGACAGTTCTAAAGGTGACAACCACTACAAGGCAGCTGGTTTTAATTTTTTTTCTTTGTAAAGTTGCAACATGATTCTTTACTGCTAACGTTTTGGGTTTTTTAAAAACAAGAGCCCAATCATTATTGCAGTCTGTTCTATAACGAATAATAAGCCTTTTACAGCTGCATTCACCAAATTACACCACTTTTTCTGAATAGATAGTTCTAAAGGTTCTGAAACACATGAAAGGTGAAGCCATAAAGGAAACTTTTAAGTGTAGATCATTATTAATTCAATGCAATATGAGAATTGACACTGAACTCTGAAATCCACTTTGGTAGCCATAATGGAGTTTATTCCACAAAAATTCTTGCTGTTAACTCAGCTTCTTGTCAGCTTCTTTACAGGCAAAGGTGACCTGTGTAAGGTGAGAAGTCACATAACAATGAAGGAAACATGTTGACTGGACAGATCCAAAACAGACCCAGTGAGTTCATAAACAAGCAATAACACTGTTACCACATAACCGCATTGGTATTCAACTGAAGGATGTGAAAATGTTCTGTTTTTCATCTGTTCTGCAGTAAGTGTAATTTATCAGTAGCAGTACCTGTACATAGTTTCTTAGTAGGTTAAAAACTCAAAGATTAAGTAATTTGTACAGATTTGTCAAGTTCGGATTTTGGAGTAAAAATTGGAAACTACACAGACTCACAGACTGACAACTGGATACCTGCATTTCTATTTAGGACTCCCCAGTTCCCTTAAAATTTAGGAGTAGACAAAATAAAAATCGAAGAATAAAATAAAATAATAGAAACACAAAATAAAGGAATAGATAAACCATAGATAATTTTCTGGTACCAAGAGACAGAATGAAAGTAAACTGGAAAACATCACATTAGCATATATTTCTGATACTTTAAAATACTCAAGACTTCTCTCATTCACACTTCAGCAGGAACCAAATAATTATAAAAAAAATTGTGTTCTTTCCCTCCCTATGCCACTTTTTTATATATGAGATTATGGCATGAATCAGTTTATATCAGAGCCCTACCGCACATTTCTCTTCCTTTCTTGATACGAAGTAAACATAAAAGAATGCTCCAAAGAATCAGTATGTAATGATATCAACTCCTTCATTTCTCATATGCAGAACTTAAGTTTTATTTCTGACAGTGATAAGGGGCTTATTTCCTTTTTAAACAACAAAGCCTCAGATTTTCCAACAGTATAGATGTGTAAAGTTTTTACTACCTGTTTATGAGCCCATATGAGCTAAGTCTACCCGCATAAATTAAAAATTATCCCCTGCCACAGACTTGATTGCAAATTTCTTGATCCTTTTTTTTTAATTTTAAAGTTTTTGTCCTAAACTTAAAGTTAATGAACATTAAACTGCATTTTATGACAACTGGATGATGCAGAACAGATGTTGAGCTAAAATTTCATTTGTCAAACGTCAACTCAGAATATGTCTTTAAATCTGGAGTATTAGTAAGACAAACTACATGGTGAAAACAACAGAAAAAATTGTCAACGACATCAGTGCCTGATAACCATTTTTCTTCAGACAGAAATTCTGCCTGAACCTAAGATTCCAGAAAATGATGTTCATTTTTAGGAATGCTAATTGCTTATTAGGGTGAGTATGTTTTCTTCTAGATACTTATTTTTTTTTTGTCTTGAGCTGACTGATATATAGCAAATGCTAATCAAAAGCCTGCAATTAGTATGTTTTTGTCTTGCAGACTTTCCTCTGCTAGCAAGCCTTTGTTTGGACCTCTGGCTGGACAGGAGAGGTTTGGTGCCTGAAAAGGATGCCTGCCATTCCCCTCCACAATTCGGGACAGTCACAAAACACTCCAACCAACCAGCCAACCAAATCAGCAACAGGGCTATAAGGAAACTCGGAACTTCTCAGTTGACAAAGTCCATCTGCTGACTAACATGTTTGTTTTTCTTCTTGCTCTGTAAGGTATAAATGATAACCCTTTGAGGCATACAATGCAACTTAACCCAGCCATTGAAAGCGTTTTTTGCATTTGGGCCATGTTTTCCTTTTCCTACTTATACCTGCCATGTGCTACCCTAAATAATTTCTATCCTTCCACATTATTTTTTCAAGCATCTGGAAAGTCTTCCATCTTATCATTTCCACACTTGTAATTTATACACATTTTTGTAAACTATTCATAGAAATCAACACATTAAAAGCATCCTGATTGCTTTTGTTACTTTTACAAAAACTCCTTTCAAATTTTCAATGTCTTTCCAATACTGAATGATCAGCAACTGCTGGTAGGCCACAGACAGTTTCACAAGTCAGTCTGCCCAGATGGACTATAGCTTCTGTGGACTAAGGCACAACATAATCAGGTGTTTCTGACATTTCTTTATCAAAATTATTGAAACCAACAAGCAAGGGTAGAAATACTAAGTAAGAGACAGCACATACAGTTCACAGATCAAATGACTGAGATCAACAGTAATACAAACCTATTTTACAAAACTTATTTTGTGCAAATTCCCAGTCCATCTAATAGTAATCAGAAACAATATTTAATGATCCCCTCTAAAGAGTTTATGAAGTTCTGTTTATATCTGGATGCCTGTTCGTTCCTACTTTACCTACAGAAATCAACACATAAATGCACAAACGGTACTACAAGACAAGAAAGAACCAAAAAAAAAGCAAATGAAAAATTTATAAGAAGAAATCTTCTTTTACAAGCACATATCCTATACATTAACTGGCTAACACTTGCAAAGTGACAGCAGAGCAACTAAACAGAGATAATGTTTTCTTAGAAAGATATTATGTCTAGGACCTGTAGATGTACTGCAAATATATCTTTCCTGTCTATAGGGAATAGCGCCTTCAGCATCATCATGCTTCTCCTAAGAACATTTCATATAGATTACAGTTATTTCTCCTCTGGTTTAGAGCACTCCTAATGTAATTTTCTTTAAGTCTGAAGATGAGACAATTTACAAAGCAAAGCTATTTTTCCTCCATGGACTTTTATATTCTGGAATACAAATATATCAAAATACCACCATAATAGAAAAAGACTGTTTCCCTTTTGTTACCAATGTTTGCTCTGGGGCAGGAGGAAGAAGGGGAGGAATTCAATTTACATTTTTTCAAATTTCTGGAGGAAAAGCTAAGGGGGAAAAAAAGGTTGAAGACAGAAGTTTTCTCAACAAGTAAATCTCTGCAATGGTAGAAGTATCTACAAACAGTGATATTTCTGACTTGCCGTAAACTGTTATCTGCTGTTGTGTTCCTGGGTGAAGAGAGAGAAAGAACTGCTATAATGCTAAACAAGCATTATCCCTGCTAATCCCTGCTAAACAGGGAAAGAAGTCTTTTCAAATTGTTGCTTAAACACCTCCAGCATTTTTGTTGATGGCAAATTTTTTGGGCTCCTCTACCTCTAAACTACACATAGCAATATCTAACTATATATCAGACTACTTGCCACAGAAAAAACTTAGTATACATTAACACTTTCAACAAGTTTAAACTCAAAGTTATCAAAGAGACTTTCTTTCTTTTTCATCAGAAAACTGAATAAAATCACAAGGTGCATTGAGGATTTCAGCTAGCATTTCCACTGATGTTACCACAAAAGTTAAATAATTTGCCAGAAAACTCTCTAATCCATCTGCCTCCTTGGGCTATAAAGTCTCCTCCCTGCACTTTCCCTAGGTAGATGAGGATGGTCATTAACAACATTAAAAATTGGCTATACATTTGAAAAGCATGCACAGTAACAACCATTTCTGCAAAGCTGTAATCATACATTCTGCTACCATGTACTGGCATTGGAAGCCTGTACAACACACAAGGTGAAACATAAGCCTGGTTATGTGTTGCTTCCACATTGCTCAGTCTCATTGCAAAATACTAAAATACCATTTTCTGCAACATTTATGAACATTAACTGCAGACAAACCAAGAACTGCAACAACTTCAGCTGAAGAAGCAACTTGAAAATTCAATCCACAATGGCTACAGAGTCAAAACAGTCACACTACTCCTCCCATTTTCAGAGAAAATTATTTTTCTTAAGCTTTTGAGGAGTAGCACTACTGAAAGCAGGTTAAACACACACACACAAGACCACACCTATCATCTCATTGCACAGAAGAGCTGATGAAAGGTTTCCAAGGTAAAGTATTAGGTCAATGCTGTTAGGCAAACATAGTCTTTCATGTACCATCACAGGTGTTTGGTTTTTTTTTTTTACATTCAACAGCAGAAACATACAAAGCAAACCGCAATTACAAAGCTCCCCATGATAAGAAATAGAAGACAACGAAGAAGGTTTCACCCACCTGGGATCTTTCTGAATGCTATCAATGGAAGGTGACCTAGCCAAGGTCCCTTCGGGTGGGATGGCTGGCCCAGATTTGCTGTAGGGTGATTCAACAGAAGGACAATACTGCAGCTGTCGGTAGGGATCTGCGTAATTGGAGGCTGGGCCGGCCGCATAGCTGGCCCTCTGGAAGGTCGCTGTTGCGTTCTGTGTGCCGTGTTGACTGCCTGTGCGCTGTAAGGGTACGGAGTCGACACCAGGGGAAGATGGGGCTACGACAGGAAAGTAGGGACAAAGTAAAAAATTGAGGACCTGTTCACAGAAATGGTTAACCAGGTCTAGGCAGAGGAAAAAAAAAACAAACAACACACACATATAAAACAGAGGTTCAAAAAGAATGAGAAAAAAACAAAAGAAACAAGCAACATTGTCATTTTTAAAACCGTAGAAGGAAATAACCGTCAAACAAATTTCTAAATGACATACCAGTTCTGGACTAGAAGACCTTAAAAACAATTAAACAGATTGTACCAGTGCTTTCACCTGGGGTTTTAACTGCACTAAGATGAAATAAAAGAAGTGCAGAAGCAGCATGGGAATAATCAAGCTAAGGTTCACAACCACCACTGAGCGAGGTTCTTGCAGTCCTGACAGGTGAAAGTCAGTCAGATTCCCCAGCAAAAGGGGAGTCAAACCAGGCTCAAGAGTCCACACTGAGACATATGGCTCTACAGCAGAAGAAATACCCAGCCATCCCAGATTTGTAGTCCTGGTCTCCATGAAGCAGGTAAAACCAGACACCTGCTACCAAGAGTTGGTGCATACGATTTGTTAACCCATCTTCTGCAAATTTCACCTTAAGTTAAGACTTAGGGGACTGCTACTGCTATCTCAATCTGAAAAAGAGCTAAGCACAACGTGAGCAGGTAGATATCTTAATACATGCCAGCAAAGGCTGTGCTTACACACCACAGCTCAAGATTAATGCATTACCAGTTTTGAGCGGCTTAACCAACAGCTTTAAACTGACTTAATGCTTTTGCAACTCAAAGATCTTATTAATCTCTCTTGTAGTCCATTATCTTTCTGTTATAGCACTGGGAAGTGGAGATCCAGTCTGCTTTATGATTCTTATTAAACATGCAATATTTTTCAACCAAATTCAGTTAATGGCAAATGGATTATCACTGTAATGGACAGAGGACCAACATCCACATGATCTTTGGCCTGCACATAAATACAAATAAAATGCTGGCTCTGCTCAGAAGGAAATGGAGCTGTTTGAAGTGGTACATGAACTCATGGTGGCTGCCATTCCGTCCTGTCCCAAGACAACAAGAATATTTTTGCCAAGAGGAGTGGTCCAGGTCCAGGGCTATTCCTAGCTTCAAATTCATATGCTAAACTGCAGACAAAACCACATATTGCAGAGATAGGTTTTTATAATAGATTTCCCAATCATTTTTCATTAACATGCACATTTAAAAATAAATATTTAATGCACTATAGGTCCATGAAAGGGATTTTAAGCATTTTATCTCAATGTGTCAGAAAATGAAATATAGTGAGCTTTAAATACAATTATCACAGTTTTGTATAACCTAGTGCTTGTCAAAGTTACAACACCTGTAAATTTTAAATTTATATCGAATCTTTGCCTTGTTTTCTTCCTTTTTTCTTACAGCTCTGAAGTATTTAATTTTACAATAACATGTATCATAACTTTAGAACATAGGTAAGTGGGATCCCTCACTTATTGATTACCCCATCCCTGGAAGTGCTCAAGGCGAGGATGGAGGGGGCTTTCAGCAACCTGATCTAGTTGAAGGGGTCTCTGCTCACTGCAAGGGATTGAAACTAGATGGCCTTTAAAGGTCCCTTCCAATCCAAAGCAGCCTATGATTCTATGATTATGTTTACTCACATATATAGGAACATTTTTCACATTTTTTTTGGTTTGATTGTTAGTATATATACATACTTCCTTAAGAAATGACTAGTAAGATGCACAGACCTTTTTTTATAAAACTGCATCAGTTCAAATGCAATAACATTATTAGCATATTTAAACATCCCATGCAAAATCATGCTAAATTGAGTATTAGAAAGAAACAAGGTAAACATCACATTTTATCAGAAAATACAAATTCAAACCCAATATCGGCTGCCTTGTGAGAAGAGTAATAAAACAAGTTAGAGAAAATACCAGAAATATTTTCAAGTGAAAAAGCAAAAATGTAATTGCATACTGTTAAGCACTGTCATTCCATAGAATATGCTCTTGCCTTTTGACAAATTATATGGGAATTGCAAAAAACCCTACAACACCAATATTGCTGAAAACAAAAGCTTCATTGTAATGTTGATTGCTCTGCAAAATATTCCACAGTTTTCCCTTCATCTCCTTTGCAAGACAGTTCAATGGAAATCATGTTTGTTTTTAAACCATTTGAAAAGTTTTCTTTCTGTTTTATCCTTTGTCTCGTTTTCAAAATAGGTATTTATATGAACTGCAACTAGCTGTCACCCTAACACCTACAAGCTTCTTGAGTCACTTTGATTCATTTCTCAAATTATCTTCCCAGCAGACTGTTACTTCCTTTTGAATTTTATCACAATGAACACAGAAGTGCCATATTCAGAACATGAGAATGAAACAAATCTATGACTTAAACACTCACAATTAAGCTTGTTTGGACAGTGCTACCCAGATCAATTAAAAGAAAAACAAAAAACCTCAAAGAACTAATACTTTAGAATAACTTCTATATCTAATTTGACTACAGTCACTTACCTTTAACTATAGTAGAAGGGTTATGCTTTAGCAGACATTTTTACACAAGTAAAACTGAAGCAAAGTCATCAGTTTGGCATGTCATTAATGCCTCAAAGATATTGGATCCTCTCAGCCCCTCACTACTCTGACTTCAAAATCACATCCTCAGCAAATGGAGCATCTGGTGTGCTACACACTTAGTATGTTCTTACAAATCTTTGCCAAAGAGAATAAAAAGCCCTTGTTAACTATAACGAAAACCCTCCAAAGACCTGATATATGCCCTCCTCATGGTTCTATTGAACTTATATAAGAACTGCTAAAAAGTTCACACTTCTAGAAGTGAGAGGGCATTTTGTCCAGTTAAGATAAGAACAATCAGACCTTCAGAAAGGATAAAGTCATTTATAAGAATTATCTTACTACATCGGCTGTTGCCTCTGTTCGATCCGCGGATATCACCTTGTAAATTTTTCCTCTTCTTATCTGATATTAGACATTCAGTTCTTGCATTAACCTTCTCTCCTAGGGTCTTTCATACAGATTTCAAAATTATTTTTTCCCTTTATTTTTTTTCTTCAGTGATTTGCACCTGTAGTTAACTTATACTCTCACACGAAAGTTGAAAATTGGATCCCAGTAAGATGTCTTTTCAGTGCAAGGTATGTCCATCATCCCTCTATGAATTCATTAATTGTACAAATTCTGCTGGTAGCAAAACTATAGAAAGGTTTATAAAACAGATACTTTCCCATCTAATACACCATAAAAACAACACAGTGAATTCTGTATCAATTAAGAAAAAACTCATCAAGTTTGGAGGATACAAACACTTTACCTCAAAATGTTGGAGTGTTTTAAAGCATGCACCAGCTTTCTTGCAATAGAAGTTTAACAAAATAGATTAGAAAGGGCAATCCAAAGTTACAAGAACAAATAGTCAAGTTTAACACTGTTCGAGATGTATGGTATTACATGTAATAATAACATTATTACATTACATGCAATAATAACATTACATGTAATAATAACACAATTATTATTAATAATAATAATGATAATAAATTTGCTTAGCAGTTACTTTTAGAAGCACTTTTCCACAAGTGCTTTTCCCACAAGGGAATAAAATTTAAGAGAAATATATGGTTGAGGGAAACAAAATATTTACTGAGAGAGGGAAAAACCATAATTGATATTAGTAACTACCTTGAAGGTTGTTAAGATTTTATGAAGGCACTATCATATCCTCTGGTCAAAGTACACACAAGGAATTTTGTACTTCAGACATGAAAACCAAGAGCAAAACAAAAAACAGTCAACACTACAGGATTTTAAGATACAAGGCTCCAATTTAGATTTCAAATACTCGGGACCTTATGCAAACACCAGCACCACAGAGTTCTGTGTAGGCTGACAACTTTACTACGTGATTTTTTGTATTTGAAATGGGAAAAAAACACCATCAAAATTACCAAAACTTTCTGTTTCTCCTTTTCCATTTGCTCCTCCCTCACTTCCCTGAACTCTTTATTTTGTCCTATTTAGTCCATCTTGCAATCAAAACTTCAGTCTCACAATTCTTAGCCAGAGACAAATAAAAAGAATCTGTTAGCAAATCTTGCATCTTCATGAGATGGGCTCTTCCCCATCCAGCCTGCCTATGCTTTCCACAGATCTACCATTTAGGTCTTCCACGATTGTTCCGCCTAATTCTTTTCACTGGTTCCAGATTTCTCCACATGCTCATATTTTGTGTAAATCAGAGGAAAGACAAGCTCCTTCCCTCCATTCAGATCTGCCACGGTCAGCTCAGTGCCTTCAACAGCTGGCCATGGCAAATCACGGGTCTCCCTGCTGTATCAGGCATGTATTTTTAAGGGAACATAACATGCTGTACAGTGGAAATGCAGGCAGACTAAAGAAATTGATACTGAACAGCGTGGTATATAGCCAAAAAGGTCTCTTTTCCACTCATGATCACGTTAGTCACAATTTTCTCAAGTACTGGTTGTACCTGACTGTTACACCTACTTGTAATTAGTTTGTCTACAAGCTGTTTCAAGATGTTCAGTAATATTTTTATCACCAGATGTTTTCGTGACATGGTGAAGAGAAAGCCTTTTTTATTAAGGCAACCTCCCTGTGCCTACCAGATGCACAGGCGATTTGTGTTTTTCACACTTTCCCATCCCATCTCCAAAACCAGAGGTAGCTGTTTAGCTGCTACACTATTACTTCTATGGGAAATACTCAGAGCATCTCCGAATTAGTTAATAGGTTCATTGCTACTGCGGCAGCTGAAAAGTATTAACCTAATGAAGGTCATAAACATATTCAAAGTAAGTGTACATCCCAATAATGAATTTTTAACCATTTGCTATTTGATTCTTTCAAAAATCTTAAAATCATCTCCTGACTATTGCAATATCTACATGCCACTGTTTTGTGGGAGGAAAACTCCTTGCTTCAGAGAATGCAAGGACACATCACGTGTGC